CGATGGGGAGCGGCGACAGGGGACCACCGGTGGGGTGAGATGCCGACTTGCCGCCGTCGAAGAGTTAGGGTCGGATGGACGGAAGATCTGAATTCGGGGCTCGCGCCGGTGTTAGCTCCTCCGTGAGTTTCGCGTGTAAATTAGAAGTCCCGTGTGGTTTTTATGCCGGACCCAGCTTAGTTAGGCGCAGTGTAACTCTGCCGCTCCCTGTTAGCAGCACCCCGACCTCTCCGCCGAGCTCTGCTCCTCCCAACATTTCCCTTTGCGTCCTTCCATGCCGTTAAACATTGACTCGGCAAACGTGCAGCCCCGGGGCCCTCCCGGCACCCGGCGAGGGCTCCCGTCAGCCAGCCTTAAATTTTTCTGCCAGGCTTGGAAACCGCTGTGACAAATTTAGAGCCAAAGCGTAAATATTTAATAGCAGAGAGGAAAATGATCTGGGGTCCTGCTGCAGTGCAGAGCGAAACAGGCTCGGCTGTGCAGTTGCTGCTGGTGTTTGATGCGAAGCAGTAGCTCATTTTCTGCTTTTCAAGGGTTAGACAAACCAAAGTAGGAGTAATCGTGGTCCGTGGGAATTTTTTTTAAACGAGAGCACATATTTTTGTGTTTCTCCTCCTTTTCCGGTAGTTTTTTGGCACACACTTCTAGTGGGAACGATGCTGCGATTCGTGGGGCAACGTAGCACTTTCCATCGCTCGCCCGTCTTGCACAACCCGTCTGCTCAGCCTTGCACAACTTGTTTTCCTCTGTGCAGAGGTGGGCTCTCCCCCTTCATCCCCGAGCTCGTAGCGGAGAGCAGCCCCCGCAAAGACCTGCCTGGAGCGGCCCCGTGGGTCCCTCCGCCAGCGAGGGCAGGAGTTTCCCCCTGCGGCTGGTGAGCGTGACCTTGGCCGGTACCAGTTTCTCGGTTTCTTCTCTACTTCCCGTTTGACGAAGCAGGGCTCGTCGCAGCCGCCACCGGACTTAGAAGGTGGGACAGGAACAAGGCGTAGCTAGTTCCTCCGCTGCTTCTCCAGACCTTTCCAAGCTTCCTTGAGCTGTTTTCTGGCCGTGAGATGCTCGCCGGAGACCTCACAGCACGGTTTCGTGTAGGAACCTGTGGGCAGAGTTTGGAGCTGCCTGCTCTGGTTAAAGCCTCTCATTAGTCTGGGGCACGTGAGCATCTCCTCTCTGTTCTCCGTCGTCACTTGACTTGCGTTACAGACCCGGGATCTTGCCGTGCGTGGATTCGTGCTCGTGGCGGCGAAGGTCTGAGGAAGAGGAACTCCAAAGGCTGCTGGGGACGGGGGTGTGGGTGGTGGGAGCGGGCTCCTGCGTAAATGAGGAGGTGATGGAAGGACTAGGGTAAACACGAGGGGTCTGAAATGCTCTTGGTGTAGGGCAACTCCAAATCTAACAGGAGACGTCTCCAGGACGTAAACAGCTAGGAGGCTGCAACCTCGGCAGGCTCGGCCGTTCCCACCGTGTGTACGTGACCTGCTTGTCTTACGCCCGCTCCTTTCTCTCCTGGGGCAGATGGCGGCCTGGAGGAGATGGTGGAGGAGCTCAACAGCGGGAAGGTGATGTATGCCTTCTGTAGGGTGAAGGATCCCAACTCTGGCCTGCCCAAATACGTCCTCATCAACTGGGTGAGTGGGGACACACCTCTGCCTTTCCCAGGAGGGACCTGGTGGAGATAAATCACTGTTTCTCCCTTCAGTTCTCTCTTGACTTGTAGTTGCCGAACGCTCGGCAGCCAGCATGTTGTATCCCCTCCATCAAGCTACAATACCGAGGCCGTACCATGCCCACTGCCGTGGGTGCGTAGCCCGAGCCCCGTGGACACGGGCAAACCGAGGCTGGGCGGATTCACTTCCCCGTTGCATCCCTTTGGCCACGTAACTCGCTCGGCTGGCGGTGACGCTGCCGGTAAACGAACGGCTCTGAACCCATCTAGGATGGGTTGAGCGAAGCGCTTGGGGATCGGCAGGAGCCTGGAGCCCTCGTGGCGTGGCTGTTGTTCCTGGGCAGGAGGGTCGCCGTGTCCCTCTGCCCAGTGCTCGCTGCAGAGCGGGGTCTTTTTCTGTGCCATAAGCCCCGGTGAAGCCCTCGCCATGGCCAGCGTGGGTGATTTGCAGGCTTAGATCAAGGTGCTGCCGCTCTAGGACCACCGTGGGATGGGACTCTGGTAAGCCGGTGCCCGTGGTTTCTCTTTGCAGACCGGCGAAGGCGTGAACGACGTGAGAAAAGGAGCCTGCGCCAACCACGTCAGCACCGTAGCGAACTTCCTAAAGGTCCGGTTCTCTTTCCATCGCGTCCTCCCCGGGTGGGAGCTTTGGGGTGTCCCAGAGGCGTCTGTTTGCGGGCAGGACCATGGCCAGGAGAGGATGGGGAGCCTGATTTTGAGTCAAAAATAGCTCTGGAGGCTGCAGAGGAGGTGAAACAAGCCTCTTTCTCCCCCAAAGAACATTTGCTTTCCCAGCGCTGTGTTATCTCCGGGTGGCCGGTGACCTCTCTCTCTCTCGGCTGAGCCCTTTCCCCTCCCTTGGGGGGCTCTGGGGGTGCAGATGGGACCTGTCAAAGCAGGGTGGTGGGTTTAGTGCCACCCCCTCACTGCAGTGCTGGCTTTCTCCCTGCTCAGGGGGCTCACGTCACCATCAACGCGCGCGCAGAGGAGGACGTGGAGCCCGAACTCATCATGGAGAAGGTTGCCAAGGCCTCTGGGGCCAACCACAACTTCCACAAGGAGAGCAGCAAGTTCCAGGACTCGGGCCCTCAAGCTCCCGTGGTGAGTTGGCTCCCTGGGGGCTTTCTGGTCCCTCTGGGCTCACAGTTGGGCAGGGGCAGAGTCCGGGAGCGCCGTCAGCCCGTGCCGGGAGGGGATCCCTGTGCTCGGACGTGGCCGTGGAGTCGCCAGCCATTTCGCCCAGGGCTGGTTCCTCTCTCTGGCTTGTGGCAGAGCGAATCGAGGCAAGGGCACGGAGCGGTGGCAGGGCCAAGGTGTCCTTGCAGCAAACACAAGGCCTAAGCTCTCCTCTCCGTAGGCTCAGCCGTTTTGTTAAGCGGGACTGATTCACTCCGGTTCTATTCAGGTTTTTAGAGACACAAAAGCTCCGGCTTTTCAAATTTGCAGAATATCTGCGAGGCCCGGGGCTCCTCCGAGGCTGCGGTGGAGCCGAGGTGCTGCTGCGGCGGCGTTTTGACACGCTTGCAAGCAAAAACGGAGGTTTCCCCTGGTGCTGCGAGGTGTCGAGGCCACAGGTCTCAGCAGCGTCCTTTCTGTCTGTGTGGAAACGTTCTGGAGGAAGGTGATTTTTTAACACAAACGCCGAGAAAGTGAAGTTTCTCAGCTGCATAAAGGTGAAGCTCAGCTGCACATGCTCTGCGACTGAATCGCTTGGCCCCGCTCTGAGCTGTGGGCAAAGAGCAAACGGGAGCTGGGTGAGACCC